ATAGGGGCTTCTGGGGAGAACATGTATCCTGGCTTACCCAGCATGGCTCCAGTTTCCACCAGTTGTCTGGATGGAATTATTGGTAGTGCCTCCTTTCACTCTGGTTTGGATGAAAAGATCATGTAGTCACTTTAGTTTTACACACGATAGATGCTTCCCGTAACTGTTAATTGCAAACCAGAATGGACGGTGGATGGATGAATGTAACTTGCTTCTCATGATTTGAGACGCCTTCTTATTCTGGGCTGGAGACTGGAGAGAATGCGCTACGTTATGGAGAGGTCATTTCAACCTGGGCTTTCTTGTCTTTGAGGGGTCTGGTTTATGGAATTCTACAATCCTCAGACAGCTTGCTCATTGGTAGTAGGGTATACTTGTTGTAAGATTCTAATGGGACATGCTAGGAAATAGCTGGCATAAAGGCAGCATTTATGAATGAAAGACTATGAGCCATTGAACTAGGGTTAGGAAGCTGTTTCTAAGATGAGGTGGCCCAGAGCAGAGGTTCAGCAAGTGGGTCCTGGAGTTAGATCACCCGCGTGTGAATCCCAGTTTTGCTACTTATGGCTGTGGAAACTTGGGCCAAGTCCCTTCCTCTCCAAGCCTCAGTTTCTTCATCTATAAGGTGGGGATAGTAAAATATCAGGCTGAACCATACGAAATTATCTCTATTTGAACATTTTGACCTTCAAAACGGCATGCCCTATAGTATCAGCTGACAGCTGCCTGGCATAAGAAATGGTGGCTGTTCACACCTCACATTTGATTAGGCTGATCTTTCTGCTTCCATTGCCTAGCTGAACCATTGTTTCATTGTTTCATTCAAAACATATTTGCTGGGGCTCCTGGCTGGCTCAGTCAGTAGTGCATATGACTCTCGACCTTGGGGTTGTAAGTTCAAGCCTCACACTGGGTGTAGAGATTACTTAAAAAAATAAAAATCTTAAAAAAAAACCCAAAACGTATTTGCTGAGTACTATGTGCCAGGAATCACAAGAGGGAAATAGAACAGCCCTGCAGCATCTTCAGCTAAATAGCAGAATAGCATGTAAGGAAGGCTCCAGAATGCAGGTCAGAGACTGCTCTGTGAGAGTCATCCAGCCAGAGGCGCCTGGGGGCTCAGTCGCCTGAGCTTACAGCTTTGGCTCAGGTCATGATCTCGAGGTTTGTGAGTTCGAGCTCCACATTGGGCTTGTCAACCCATCAGTGCAGAGCCTGCTTCAGATCCCCTCCTACCCCCTCTTCTCCTACCCCATGCACACTCTCTCAGAAATAAATATTAGAGAAAGAAAAGTCCTCTGGCGGTATGCCCAATGACTGAACCTTAGCTGACAGAGCATGAAGGACTGAGGCAGAAACAGGCTTGACCTGAACCTGGCACTTTGCTTCGAGACTAGCTAGAGAAGCCCAGATCTGGGGCGCTTGGATGGCTCAGTTAAGCGTCTGACTTCGGCTCAGGTCACAATCTCGCGGTTCATGAGTTCATGAGTTCGAGCCCTGCGTTGGGATCTGTGTTGATAGCTCAGAGCTTGGAGCCTGCTTCAGATTCTGTGTTTCTCTTTCTCCCTCTCTGCCATTCCCCTGCTCACGCTCTGTCTCTCTGTCTCTCAAAAATAAATAAATGTTAAAGAGAGAGAGAGAGAGAGAGAGAGAGAGAGAGAGAGAGAGAGGAGCCCAGATCTTTGCTTTCTCAAAGATCATGGCTCAGAAGGAGGCCGGGCTGCCCAGAGGTGAAGCATGAGGGAAAAGGCACATCTCACAACAGCCAGGCTTGGGCCAAGTCTGCTGAGCCCAGCTTTCTGCCTGGTCATGTCCTTTTTGTGGTTGTCCAGATGGAGAAGAGATTCCACACGGTGTCATTTGATGTCACTCACTATATTTAGTTGCCAATAATAATTGCCATCGGCCCCCTGGACCTGATGCTATTCGGGTAAAGATCCTGGATAAGTTCCACCGGGCAGGCAGAATTCATCCCTGGCTGCTCTTTTTTTGGGGGGGAGGATGGAGGGAGGGATCCTACTTCTACACCTTTTGGCCAGGCCGAGGTGTGGATTGGATCCCACCTGGAATGAAGGCCTTGAGCTAACGAGGACATCAACTCCACTCACCTGGGACCTGCTGACCCCATCCTTCAGTAACATAGAGAAGCAAGTTGTATCCTGGGACATGGTGAGGGGAAGGGGGCTAGACGTGAGGGAGCTATATTTTCCCTTTCTTGGGCATGGGGCTGGTGGGGGTTCTCATCTTGACACAGGGCAGAGGCCACCTGGCCAAAGGCACTCCCCTTGCTGAGAGAGAGCCCAGGTCTAGCAACATGGCAGCAGCCACAGGCAAGAGAACCTTCTGGATGGGCAAGGCCATTGTAGTCAGACTCGTCAGGCTCTGGGGCTTTAAGGCATGTGGCTACTCTTATACTTGGGGCTCACCCTGGTGGAGAAGATTCTAGAACGATGCTTTCAAACCTGGTAGCCACTTATGGCTATTGAACACTTAAAATACGGCTAGTCTGGGGGCGCCTGGGTGGCTCAGTCGGTTAAGTGTCCGACTTCAGCTCAGGTCATGATCTCGCAGTTCGTGAGTTCGAGCCCCGCGTTGGAGTCAGTGCTGTCAGCTTGTCAGCACACAGCCCACTTTGGAACCTCTGTCACCCTCTATCTGCTCCTCCCCTGCTGGTGCTCTCCCCAAAATAAATATTTTAAAAATATGGTTAGTCTGAATGAAGATGTGATGTAAGTATAAGATACACATCAGTGTTCAAAGACTTACTATAAAAGAATGTGAAACCATGTGGTTTTGGGGGGGTTGAGGGTGCTCCGGAGCTGGCGGCCAAGAAAGAACTCCTGAGACGCCTTTGGTGCAAAAAGGTGGTTTTTATGAAAGCCCGGGGACAGGACCCGTGGGCAGAAAGAGCTGCCCTGGGATTGTGAGGAGTGACTGACTGTATACTACTTGGGAGCTGGGAGAGCTACAGGCAAGGGGAAGTTTGCAAAAGGACTTTCATGTTCTAGAGAAGGCATCCAGGATCCTGGATGCCTGGCTATCGTCAAGCTCAGGCTGTTTTTCCCTCCATGAAAAGCATTAACATCAAGACAGTTGGAAGTTCCTGGAGAATGTCTTACTCTGCCTGCCTCAAGTATTTCCTTATAATCAGTGAGCTGCAGATTATAAGGAAATTTAAATTTATCTACCGTTTCCTTCTTCCCTTTGTTCCCCACATCACTATGGAGGGATGATGTTGGGGCTCCCAGAAACTGAGTCTGTAGGTCTCTGGAGACTAGGCTATTGATAAGATTGCCTTTTTCTTATAATTTACTCAGACATTTGTAAAGTGATGGGGACTCAGGTCCCACATGACTGTGATCTCTATCAATTAACCATTGTTTTTCCCCCCTTCCTTTGTTCCTGGGCAGCCAGGAGTGCCTGAGGAATATCACACACATCCCACCTGGTGGGGAGAGGGGTTTGCCAGGGTCAGCTTGCCTTCTGCTCCCTCATCATGAACTATTTCGCTGATATTTAAACATTTTTTCAATACTTTTGAGGGAGAGGCAGAGCGTGAAGGGGGGAGGGACAGAGAGAGAAGGAGACACATTCTGAAGCAGGTTCTAGGCTCTGAGCTGTCAGCACGAAGCCTGACTTGGGACTCGAACCCACTAGCTGTGAGATCATGATCTGAGCCAAAGTCAGACACTTAACCAACTGAGCCACCAAGGTTCCCTAATATTTTAAAAGTTTGATTACATGCTGAAATGGTGATAATTGGGATATACTGGGTTAAAGAAAACATGTTATTAAAATTAACTTCACTTTTTTTTAATTTTTAAAATATGCCTACTAGAAACTTTTAAGATCACATGTGTAGCTTGCATATTTCTATTGGAAAGTGCTGTTCTAGAAGCCTCAGGGGGATTCTAGCAATCCTGAGGTAGGTGAGTAGCCAAGATATGAAAGTGCCACTAGGCTGGATTTAACACACCAGCATCCCCTGGGGGGGTGTGTGTGTCTCAGAAATGGTTGGGTCAGGAAACCACAGTGAAAATTGCCTTTGCTATGGCTTGGGCCACATTAGTTGGGTATAAAAGGGAAGCCTGACCTCAGAGGGCTGGACCCATGGGTTAAGACTGGGAGTATGAGAACTAGTGACTTTCATTTTGTAGTGGCCTCTTAAAATGGCATCACCAAAACATCAGTCCAGAAGTCCAAGGTGGGGCTGAGGGGTAAGAACTCCTGAGGTACACTCCCCAAAGAATTGGGAGTGGCTTCTAGTCCCAGCAAGCAACTAGGTGGCTTTATTTTAGGGCTTCAGAGAGTTTATTCATGAAGACCCTGTTAGACCATGGCTATGTAGTAAGGATTTTTATATCGTGGGTCAAATCACAAATATCTTCATGTAACAATTCCATATAAGAATATGATATTATCTACAGTGGATACTGTTGGTGCCCTGCCAGATCGTTTTCTGGTTATGAGCCCATTCCCCAGCTCCTGTGACTTTGCTGCTAACTGCAGCTGTGATCCCCTTTAAATGATGGCTAATGGGCTACTGGTGTCCCCTTGCCCATTCAGAGAACCAAAGTCCCCATAGCCAATGACTGACTGCTACAGATGTGCAAAACTCTGCCTCCCGATGGGACAACTCTGAGCTTCCACTTAAGCCCAAGAGCTCCCCAGTGATCAGGCTGAGGCTACACCTCAAGTCACATTCCTGTTTGGCTTTTTCCCTTTCCTCAACCTGCTTCCTCCACCCCCTTCCTGGTTTCTCTTGGAGGGACTTAAAAACATAGCCAGGCTGCTTTATGGGTATTGGTATTGACCTTGGGTGGTGGCCATGTAATACATATCCACTGAATGTGTAGGGGATTCTAAACTCTTGAGATATCCTTGGTGAGCCCCGACCTTGTGCCCAGAAGAGCAGGGGTGGCAGGACCAGGCCGGGCCCACGTGTGCACTGCTTCGCTCCAGGCCACGTCCATGAAGCAACGATGAACATGACACAGACACAGAACTTCCCCTCGGATGGTTTATTTTATTGCTATTTAATCAGGCTCTTCCCCAAACATCTTTCGATCTCCAACATGGCCTCTCATCCAGAAAGTTGAAACTGTGCCCTGCTTCTTGCCTTCTTCACAAAACCCCCCCTTCCCTCTTACACAGAATATTTCAAAATAAAGATCGAAACAGGAACTTAGCTGAGTTGTGCAACACAGAAGTGTATCCTAGGCCTACATTTATAGAAAGTGGGGGGCGGGGAAGAGCAGTGAATCCACGGGGTAGGGGAGGCGTACACACTGAAGGCAGTCACACGGGGCAGGGGCAAACGAGATAATAGGTGTCTGAGTCCTGGGGGCTCCAGAATCATCAGAAACTACCAACTTCCCGATGGGAAGAGTTTTAGAAAAATCTATAACACACACTGTTTCCACAGGGGAGGCGTTCACTTTCCCTTAAGGTAGACTAGAAAAAAAAAAATGAAAGAAACCCCAAACTCCACATTAACCAAACACACACACGCAAACACACACGACAAACTCTAAGTCTCCCGATAAACTTCAAATAGGCACTCTGGGGCTGCAGGTATCTGGGGCTTTGGCCCCAAAAGGCAGGGGGGGCACGACAGCTTCTGAAGGCTCTGGGGTCTGATCTGCCGGGTGGTACCGGCCCAGCTGGATGGGGAAGGAAGCTTGTTTGAAAAAGAACCCTCCACTTTTATCTAAAACTGTGACTTACAGGAAGTTCTGCGCCCTGTGCATTTCCTGAACGTAGCAGGTTGGCATTGCTAAAGAACGCACCCCTGAAATGACAAATGCTGGCCATTTAGATGTGACCATTGCATGTTGAGACCTGACCGGCTCCACAAAGCAGGGACAAGGTGCAGTTTGCTGCTAACCACCCTAGCCTCAGAGCCCGACACTGTGCCATGCACTTAGTAGGCATACAATAAATGCTTGCTGTTAGGATGAATGAAGTAGTACAAGAAAAATCCTGTTCTCTCAAGAATACAGAGGTATAATCTTTTCATTGGCTATAAATGGGCTCTTTTTAAACTCTCAAAGTGGAATTACACTTTACTTATTCTCCTGACATCAGCTGGCCCTACACTTTTCTTTTTTAGTTGAAACTGAGTCTTTTGTGGTTGAAGCCAGGGAATTAATCTAGTTCCGTCCAAAGGAGAGGGTGCTCAGCAAATGCGCTGGTGAACTTCTGTGGGACACACGGTCTGTGTGTAAGGCCAGCTGCTGGCCCAGAGCTGGCTGTCGGGCTGGAGGTTGGGCCAAGTCCTTACATGTTGACTCTAAGATCTGGGGAGGACAGGTGGGTCCTTCATTGTCTCCTGGGGGCAGGTCTGAGCCTGACTGGTGGTGAAAAGTCCTGGTTTAGCTGCCTGGAGGCATCTGGAATAGGAAGTGGAGGCAGGCAACGAGGGAGGTCAGGGACTGCCCAGAGACCAGGCAGCAGAAGGCTACGGTGGAGTCTGGGCGTCTTCATGCACTGCCCTCTTGGGCACAAGGATGCTGGTGTTGGGGGGGACCCAACATTTGGGGGAGCCTGTGTCCATCAGAAAGATGAGGTATAAGGAGCATCTTGAAAATGGAGAAGGCCATTCTGATAAAATCTGGTTCCAGGGAAAGTTCTAAGGTAAATTATTGGACCCTCAGGGAATGGGGAAGCTAGTCAATGGCGTGTGCGCTGCAGACAGAAAGCCAAGGGGATTTGAGCGATGCAGGGAAGGAATGACTAATTGGAGGCAGCCTCCTGGACACGCCAAGAGAGCTGAAACTGAAAATGATGACAGCAGTTCAAGGTATGTCTGGGGGGCCCCAGGGTCCCTTTCCACGGGATCTAACTTGACCTTCAGGGCGTGGCTACCAGAACTGGTGATCCCAGAGCCTCCAGAACCTCCTTCCCTTCTCCCCTCTTTCAGTTTTGGACAAGAGACTGGGCGGGGGGAGCTAAGGGAGACACTTTGGGGGAATGATTTGGGTGCACAGGTTTTGCTTCCTTTTTTGTTTTTCGTATCAGGGTTATATGGACACTGGCCAAGTGCACAGCTGTTTTCAGGAAGGACAGAGTTGAGGCTCACAGGGGTGACGTTCGTTGGTGGATGCTGGGGCCCTTCTGAGAGATGACAAGGTACAGATATCCCAAATTCCTCCCCTCTTCCTGAAAGGGCCCCCAGTGGGGACAGTAGTCCCTTGTCAAGTCCTTGCCAGGCAAGGAGAAGCTCTGGAGGGTTTAAGGAGTCTGGAGAAGGAAGGGAGGAGGGAATCGCCAAGGCACCTGTGGGCGTAAGCCCCGACAGCTGGGTCTCCTCTCTTTGGTGATGCAAGTGCCTGCCTTCGGCTTTGATTGCTGAGGTAGCCACTTCAAAGAAGCCTGTCTCCCATAAGCATATTGCCGGCCACAGGCCTCGATAAAAAGCGAGGCTTCTCCCTCCCCCAGTCTCCTTTGTTTTAGAAACAAAGGTTGGTTTGGTTGGTTTCTACAGCTGACCATCTGGGCCCCTGGATTTTCCTCTTCCTGTGCTTTAAATTCCAGCTCTTGTGTTTTAAATTCACCAATAAAGAGTGAGCCCGCAAACGCTAGCCAACTCCAAAAAAAGCAGAACCCCAGGTCCGTGCGGTCTCTCTCTCCCTGTGACCCCTCTGTGTGGCCCCAAGTGTGCCATGTAATTTCTAGGTCCTGTAGGCAGGAATCCTCCCCCCCTCCCCCCCAAGTTTCCTGACAGTTATTGTTTAAGGGCATCTTGCAGTTGTAAGAACCGCGAGGGCCGGTCCAGCCCCGATACGGATTATCAAGGGGCTGAGACCCGCACACGGCAGCCTCCTGCAGGTCAGGGCACCATGTGCCACCACTTGAAGGTGAAGGGCTTCCTGCGGACATTGGTGCCGCAGTGGACTTCGCCCAGAAACTTGTGGTAGGCGGAGATGTCATCCACGAAGGTGCAGCAGAGGCCCAAGGGCTCCAGCAGGGAGCGCACGTGCGTCTCCAGGCAGCAAACATCCTCCACCTGAGGCCCGAACGGCTTGGGGATGCCCAGGTCCTTGTCCAGCACAATCATGTTCACCTGCCACGGGGGTAAGACACCAGTTCTGTTTAGTGAGCAGCTACTACTCTCCTGGCCCTGTTCTAAGCTCCTTCCCAGCTACCCAGTAAGTGTTGTGATTATTTCCACTTTACAGACGAGGAAACTGAGGCACAGATGGGGCTAAGCAACTCACACACGGCAGAGCTGAAGACGGAAACCAGGCAGCCTACCTCTGCACGTACGTGTAGGTATATGTGCATGCATACACACGTGGTGAAATGTGTACACATTGGCGTGTGCATGGGTACTTGTGTGTGCACATATATGTATCTGTGTGTGTGTTCTAACCTCCCTCCTTCTCAAAGAAGACTCTCCTGTATGACAAGGATCCCCTCTCCCGCCCATAAAGGTCCTTTTAACCCAGAAAGCACTTTCCTATCTGTTAAGGTAGAGGATTTCCAGGACCCAGTGAGGCAGCGAGGAGGACCATTCTCACCCCTGGAAGGGAACGCAGCCCAGAGACGACAGGTGCCTGGGACGGATGAGCGAGGCCACCCAGCAGCTCAGCCGGGGGAGGGGACCTGGACTTCCCGACCAAACAGACTCTGCCGAGGGGACCTTGTGGATCCGGCTGCCCCCGATTGGCCCGGACGAGGTTTGGGGCCCCGCGGGGCTCACCATGTTTGGGAAGTAGGCTCTGGCCTGGCGGTGCTCATCCATCTTGAACAGGGCGGGCAGGTCGATGATGTCCTTCTCTGTCAGCCCCAGCTCCTTCTTGAGGATGTCACGGTTCCAGTCCAGGCAGCGCTGGGGGAGGGGGACCAAGGGAGGGTGGGCAGGTCCGAGGACCCTCCCGCCATCTTCATCAGCCCCGCTCCTGTCTGCAGCGTCAGACCTTGGGCCCCGGCACCCCAGGGAGACTTCCGGCCCTCACCCAGCACCCCACCGCCCCTCCAGTGTCCCTCCCACCGGGCTCAACGGTAGTGATGAAAGAGAGCAAGACAGAAGATCGCAGAAATGACGCTTTCAGGTAGAAACGAGATAGGGACTCAGAAGGCGGGGTCCATGCACAGCAAGCTTAGCTTCCGACTTTAGTCCAGGAGCAAAGCAGGGAGGCGGGACGGGAAGCTCATTGAGGCCCTTCCCTCTGGCGAGTACCCTGAACCCTTGGTCATTCCCTAGGGAGCCCTGAGGGTGTGAGAGGTGCCATTGGTGGCCCCCCCCGGGGCCTCACCTGGAAGTACTGGTTCTCTTGCACGAGACTCTCACTGGACAGAATCTTGTTAATGGTGATCCTCTTGCTGCTCATTCCGCCCAAGCCTGTGGAGGTCAGAGGTCACAGGGGACAGTCCAGCCTCAGGTGCCCAGCCTGGGTGCTCCCCTCTGTCAGCTGCCTCCCCCCCCCCAACCCCAGCTAGTGGGGTAATAACTGCTGGGAGGAAGGAGATGGGGCTGGGGACAGGGAGGGGCCCAGGGAGGTAACCCCAGGGCAGCGGAGGGCAGCACGCACTTCTTTCTCCATGGGGGGCCATGTTGTTTGGGACACGGAAGAGGTGGCTTGCTTGCTCTCTGGCCAGAGGGTGGGGGGTACAGGTGGGTACCTGGGTCTCCCCTCCCCCGGAGCTTGCTTCTAAGGACAAGCCGCTGACCAGGGTGAGTGTGGCAAAAAACCAGAGGCACCTGTCATGTGTTCTAGACCTGCCTCACGCTCAGCGCCTGCCTGCAGCTGTCCCCTCTTCCGTACATGGCTTTCGGTCTGATTAATCGTGCCTGGCACTCGTCGAGAACCTGCTACGAGGCAGGCACCCTTCCAGATGTTTTACATGGGTCAACTCAGGAACCTTTCCTACATTCCAATGGGACAGCTGTTAGCATTAAAGATGAAGAAACTGAGGCACAGAGGAGTCCTATGGCTTGTCAAAGGTCTTCTAGCCTTGGCAGAACCCGTATGCAGACCAGGCAGTCTTATTCTAGAACCTAAGCTATTAATTCTTCTTCTTCTTTTTTCCTTTTTTGTGCCTGATCTGGGAAGAGTCGGCTGGTCCATTGCCCTTCCCAATCTTGCAGGCTGTCGGGCAAAGAGACTGGAACTGTCATACCCTGTACCCGTGCTGCCTCCACAGTGCCACTTGGACCTGTCTGTATGAAGATAATGGCTCCTATATCCCATGGGTAGCTTTGGGGTGTGTCTACCATATTAAGAAGGCTCCAGAAAATCCAGACTCATGCTGGCCAATCCAAGAAAAAATTTCCCATTGGTTGGGAATTTAAAAAAAGGATGGTGGTCTTAAATTGGCTCTGTCTGTCCTGGCCCACAGTCACTATCAAGAACACTGCCTTTGCATACGGAGGGCAGCGATGGACATAAGTATCTATCAGCCTTAGGAACGCGGGCTTTTGGGAGTAAGTAGACAGGAGATATCAAGCTGCAAAGTGACAAAGAGTAATTTAAGAAAAACATGTAAGAAATTGTCACGGCCTCTCTAACCTGGCTCACTGTCTCCAGCCGATCAGCTTTCCCTCTTGCCATGATTAATTCAAGAGCACACCTAGTCTCAGTCTTCGTCTGTCCCAATTAAGTGAATGCCTAAATTAGGCAGATAATTTCTCACGCTGGGACTGACAGGAATGATGTCTGGCTGTACATCATGTCGATCTAGTCCCACTTTTCTTCCTGTCCCCAAACTGCATTATGTATATTTTTGTCTATCTCCCTTTTCTTGTTTTTTAAAAAATTGTTTAACATTTATTTTTGAGAGACGGAGAGACAGAGCATGAGCAGGGGAGGGGCAGAGAGGGAGACACAGAATCCGAAGCAGGCTCCAGTCTCCGAGCTGTTATCCCAGAGCCCGACGCAGGGCTCGAACTAACAGAGTGTGAGATCATGACCTGAGCCGAAGTCGGACGCTCAACTGACTGAGCCACCCAGGCACCCCATCTGTCTCCCTTTTGAAGTGCCTCAAATCCAGATCACAGGTCAGTTAGCTCTCTTTTGAGTCTGGTGCCATTTGAAGTGCTGAATGAGCATTTCGCACGGCCGCTGAGAGTAGGGAGTGGCGGACAGCTGAGGACCGTGATGGTCACAAGAGGCCAGGTCTGCTTCCCACAGCGGTGATCTCACAGCCTGGAGCCATCCAACACCCAGAAAGTGGAGCCAGCTGCTCAGGAGCAAAGTGCTCAGCTGCCCCCTCCCCCTGGGCGTCTCTGGGGGCTCAGCTCCCCATTCCCTGCTGAGGTCCCGTGGGCACTCACCTTTGAACATGAAGGCCTCCCCGTGACCCTCCCTCTGCTTCTCTCGGAAGAGCTTGTAGCAGGCCGAGGTGCTGGCCATGAGCATCCGGAATTGCTGTGGAAGAACATCCAGAGGGACAGTGTCAACAGAGGGGAGGTGGCCGAGGAGCATGAGGGAGCCCCCGGGGGACTCGGAGCCCCGTCTGCTGTGGCCTCAAGCCTCCCCGTGCCTCCCCTGTGCTGAGTGGCACAGACCGCCTGCCAGGATTTTCTCTGCAATGCCATCGAGTCAAAGATCAGAGTCCAAAGTGGCTTTGGGCAGAATGGAAGAGCTTCTCCAGGCTGGGCCATTTGTATAACAATCCCACTCCTTTCACTTCAGAAGACAAAAGAGCCCCAGGGCTGCACCCCAGAGCTCTCTAGAGCATTACAGCAATACAGTAGCCCCAGCACTGTGATTATGGGACCCTTGAACTGTGGCTAGTCTGAACTGAGATGTGCTGTTAAGAGTAAGAGGAACACCAGATTCTGAAGCTGTGGTATGAATAAAAGGATGTAAAATCTCTCATTAAAAATGTTTACATGGATTCCATGTTGAAATGCTAATATTTTGGTATATTGGGTTAAAAATTGACCTGCCACAGCGACAACGTGCAAACTGACTTGAGCCTACTTCCTTCTTCCTCTGTGTGGTCCACTTCCTCTAGATCCTGCCCTCTGCTGACAGGAGCTGGTAGTACATGAGTTCTCCATTATCCTGCTCCCTGGGGCCTCAATGGCCGGCTCACCTTTGTGCCTGGGATGGGGACGAAGGTCATGAACTCATCGACGTGGCCCACGGTCAGCCAGTCGGAGTAGAGCTCCACGGGCGCCTGCACCTGCTGGGCCTGGAGGAAGTCCCGCACCACCTTGGTCATCCTCCGACCACCGGACCTGGGGTAGGGGCGGGGACCAGGCAGCTCTTCAGGGCACTTCCCACTGCGCCTGCCTCACCCGAGGGCCTGCAGGCGTTCACCTCTGCAACCTCTAGCCTGGATCGAGGGCGACATCAGCGAGAGGCCCAGGAAGGAGCCTGAGCCTCAGGGCTGAGAGATTCCGGTGTAGGTGCAGGAAGGCGTGTGTGCCCAGCGGTAAAGAAGGAGGCCTTCGCTGCAGCCGCGGCCTATACGAATGGCATGGAGCCCAGCCGTCAGCCCCTTCAGTTCCCGAGGGTGTCGATGGGTATAAAGAGACCAGCGTCCGTGCTCAGGGGTCTTGCCCACCCTAGCCCATGAGCCTCTCTGTTACATTAACTTCTACTTACCTTCGATCTTTAATCAGTTCAAGCAACACCTCCTCCAGGAAGCACTTCCTGACTTTTAGACTCTCTGAGGTCTTCAATCTCCCCAGTACCCTTAGTCTATTACTCCAGGCCCTCACAGTGGCCAAGAAATTCCTCTCTGATCTGGCTGCCACCGGGATCTGCTACCAGCCTTCTTCCTTGTTCTACTTGCTAAGCTGGCTCTCCCCGAAGGCTTTGCCCTTACTTTTCCTTCCATTTGAAATGCTATTTCCCTCTGATCTACCCATGGCTGCTCCCTTCTCACTCAAGCTTCAATTCCCAAGTCACGTCCTTAAAACCACGAGAGCTAACTTTACTCTTTACCACGTGGCCTTCTTTTTTCTCCTTCGTTGCACTTATTAGCATCCAGAACGATCTCATGTATTTGCTGGCTCCCATGCTGATTTTCTGTACTCCTCCTACCCTAAGTGAAAAGTTCCCGAGGGCCAGGGCTTTGTCTATTTGGCTCACTGCTGTATCCCTACAGCCTAGAACAGTGCCTGGCAGGGGAGGCCCTCAATAAGTATTTGTCTCTAAGGAGCCCTCCCTGAACTCCCCAAGGGGGAACCTATCTCTGGGTTCCCCTGGCCCCATAGCCTTCTTTCTATCACTATATATGTCCCTCCTCTGCCCCTGCTATTTCATGTCTGTGAGTTCTACTGCCTTCTTGAAGGCGGGGCCGGACGTCATGTTTAGAACACCATGGCTGGCACTTGGCTGGTACGTGGAAAATATCTGGTGAATGGAGGGTGGCGAGGAGCTAGACAAATGGTCACTTCCTGGCCAGTGGTTTCCTCCCAGGAGGTAGAGCATCCCATGCAGCTCAGAGGGACTTGGTGCCCAAATCCTGGCTGATCCCGTATGTGCAGGTTCCTGGCAGCCCTTTTGTGAAATGAGGACCGACAGTACTCACTCTTCCCACTGAATGTCCTGATCAAGAAAGAATCTGCCTTTTCACTGGGAAGTGAGTCACCTGGGGAGGGAGTGATGGTGGTACGAACCGGTGAGGGAGCCAGGGATTCCTGCTTTGGGGTAGGGCCATGTCTCCTCTGCCCTCTTCTGTGTGTGGGCACCCCAAGGACTTATTGATCCTCTCCCACACTCATCCTCTATCAGCTGCCTTCTATGGACTCCTTTGTCCCTTCCCTACCTGGTTTATAGTCTCACTATACGCCCTCCCGTTTAGGGAAGAGCTATTTATTTAGTTTTATATTAGATCCTAAGTCATGCTAAGATATAAAGGCTAACCTGGTTTTATTTCTAAGAGTGTCTGTTATCTTTTCAGAGTTGAGGAAGGGATTCATTCTCCCAGTCGATCGCTCCGCGTGTGAGCGGCCCAGGCCACTCCTAAAGAGAAAGAGCGACTTCCCCACCCCCGCTCCCCGCGCCGCACCCTGACTTCTCTTACAGAGGAAAGCTGCTCCCAATGAGGATCCGGCCCAGAGGGTACGTCTTGCCGTTGACGGTCACTGGTGGACTGACCTCCAGGTTCCCAAAGGAATCAAGGCTGGTAACAGGCTCATAGAGGGGCTCCCGGGTCACGTAGCCGAAATCTGGGCCCTGGCACGGGGCACACACCCATCATTAGTCTCCTGGAGCCAGGGGTCCTCAGCCCCCCAGCTCAGCCACCACCTGATGACTTACTCTTTCACCACCTTCCATCTGCCGCCATGGGCACTTAGTGTCTAGACGCTTGCCCACGGTCTTCTTATTCCCACCAAAGAGCAGGGGCTGGGCATGGGGAGGCTGGGTTTGTGAGCACGTTGGTGTAAGGGTGGGCATGCACAGGTGTGTAGGAGTGTGTGTGTGCACTGGGTCTCTGCACATGCCTCTCTCTCTCTCTTTTTTTTTAATATTTTTATTTCTAGGAGAGAGAGAGAGACAGCGTGAGCAGGGGAGGGTCAGAGAGAGAGGGAGATACAGACTCTGAAATAGGCTCCAGGCTCTGAGCTGGCAGTCAGCACAGAGCCTGACGCGGGGCTCGAACCCACGAACCGTGAGATCATGACCTGAGTGAAAGTCGTACGCTTAACTGACTAAGCCACCCAGGCGCCCCATGCCTCTCTTTCTCAGACACAGAGACATATTGGTGACTTCAGGGTTAGTTCACCTTCTGTGCTTTTGAAATCCCCACTCATTGCTTCATTTATCTGACCCTCAGTTTCCCAATCTGTAAAAAGAGGCATCCAATAGTAGATTGTATCATTGTTCCCAGAAACTCACTACCCTTTTCCTGGTAAGAAGACCTTGAATCCTGAGTCACTGCTGGTAGGTGGTATCTCTCTGTGGAAGGAATAGAAATCCCCGCCTAGGGTTGGACTTGATCACGTGACTTTGGCCACCGAAATGTGAGTGCTACGCAGGCCAGTTCAGAGTAGAAGCTGTAAGATCCATTGCATACGCCTGCCAACTTTTTCTCTTCTCCCTGTGCTAGGAGAATGGCATTTCCCCGGCTGGGGCTGCCCCTGCAGCCTGGGTTCTAGAATGGGGAAGGTAGGAGGAAGCAGGTCTGCGGATAACCAACCAACAGCCCATACTGAGTGCAAGCACTACGCAGACCAATAGTTGTTAGCCACTACGATTTGGGAGTTGTTTGTTACTGCAGCCTTACTTTGTAAAAGCAGACCGATACATGAAGGAACGACAGATAGGCGACATATAGACCACACCCCCAGTTCCTAACCAACCGTATTTGTTCACTGAGCCCAGAGGTAGCCTCAGAATCCTTCTCAGCACAGAGCTCCGACAAACTAGAGGTGGCACATAATATCACCCCAGGGACTCTTGAATTTTAAAGCTCCTTTCATGACTTTTTGGTGAAAAAATAGGGGCCTTGCTTGGAAACTTGCACTGGGGCTGGGACTGAGCTTGCCTGACAAAAATTCTTGTGTAAGAAAAAAAAAATATCATGGGGCGAGAAGATGTGACTTGTCCTGGGCCAGCGGAGGGCTCAAGGGATGGCCGTGCCCAGTGCGGTGGGTGGCTGCAAGCTTAGCGCTTTCTCGCCCGGGAGCCCCAGATGGCAAGGCGTGACGTGCCGGGCGCTGGAGCAGCTGGGTTTTACGGCATCACACAGGCGAGCAGGCACGCGGCATAAAGCTGGGTTTGGCCCGGGCCTCCGGGAACAATGCAGCCCGGAGCCTTGGAACCCGGCCGGCCTGGAACACTGAAGGCAGGTGGCGACCCGGGAAGAGGCCGAGAACAAGAGCTGGGAGGCCTCGGTTCTCATGCCTGCGGCAACCGCTGCTGATTTGTTTCTACCCCTTGCAGCGTGGGAAGAAGTGGACAGTCCTCACCAAGGGTGATGTCCAAGGCCATGGACTGGTAACCGTAACGCCGGCTGATAATGACCATTATGTCGGGTGCGGCACGATGCCTCATACGTGCCTTCCATCTTCACAACAATACCGTTTCTACCCCCATTTACAGATGCGCAAACTGAGGCTGAGGAGGTTAAGCGGCTTGCCGCTTGGGGTGGGGGGAACAAGATGCGAGGCCAGGCTCTACCATCTCCCCGCGGTGAGGGCACCAGGTTAGGGGAGGTTCTCAAGAAGTAGGTGTGACCCTGTGAACCTCTCAGGACTCCAGGACAGGCTGCCTTGCATGAGACCTTGGGAAAAGCCCCCTGACCTACCCCCTCTGCTTCCTGCTCTGTCCAAGCCTTCCCTGCCTGTTCAGGGTGGAAAGTGAAGACAAAAGAGACAGGTTTTACTCTGCCAGTGGTTCAGGGTGTAAGTGGGCTGGTAATGGCCTCTAGAATCAGGGAGTCCGCTTGCTTTTAAAAAACGTGTAAACTGGGGCACCTGCATGGCTCGTTGATGTCAGCTCAGGTCACGATCCCAGGATTGTGGGATTGAGCCCTGTATCAGGATCTGCATTGTGGAACCGTCTTGAGATTCTCCTTCTCTCTCCCTCTGCCCCTCCCCCACACTCTCTCTCTAAGCAAAAACAAAACAAAACAACAACAAAAAATACACATAAACTAAAAACCACAGCTTCAGTGAGCTTGGAAGTTGGAACCATGATTTTTGACAATCGCTTATCTATAGTTTTCCTCTTTGGAACTTATTTTTCTGCAAGCCGGGGCTGGGGCAGGGGCAGGAGTTAAGGCCCCTGCCCTGTCTCTTTCCCATAGTTCCCATTTCCTGGGAGGAAACTCTCCTATGAGAAAACTTTTTATCTAGGGGGGATCAAAAAGTCATGTCAGGGTATAGCTTTTCACACCTGCCTTCCCAAGTGCGCGCAACTGATAACAACAGTACATTTATTGAGCATGTGTGGTGTGTCAGGCCCTGGGGTAGTGTCACACTCTCCTATGAGAACATTCTTCAAGGACGTGACCTTGGAGGTCTCTATCCCAGCTGATGCATTCTGCAGAGAAGATGGAGGTGCTGGGCAATAGACGAAATTGTCAAGGATGCTCAAGGTCTCCTGGCCATTCTGTGTAATTAGAGCTCCCCCCACCCCTTAGGCCGACGTGGCGCTCAGCATCTCACCAGCAGCTGCTTCATTGGGTAGTCCTTCAGGTATCCATCTCGGGGGGAGTCCAGGACCACAGGGAAGCCTTTGTGGGGGGCCTCTATGTAGCCAAACTCAACTTCATCCTGCAGGGACACCGAGGAGAGCTGTCAGATGAGCCAACCTCCCCAGTTCTCTTCACTAGCAAATAGTGACAGTGGTCCCTTACATATCCTCCTTCAAATAGTCTCTGCACACTCCAAACATTTTTGTTCTCATATCTTAAATCACAATCAGTAACATCCTATGTACATTTTCTTGCAAGGAACACCTTTGTTTGAAGTGCATTCTGTATATATATGTTGGCTTCTTTTTGGCTGTTGTATAGTACTCCATGTTAAGGCTCTCCCAATCGTGCCATATCCCAGTCCCCCGTTAATGAACATTTAGGTTGTTTTACAGTCTTTTGCTACTATCAGAAGCAGTGCTACAGGGCATTAGCTTATACATGTATGTCTCTGTGCACATGTGCATGTATGAGCTGGTAGCAGAACTCCCATAAAGGAGCTGCGGGGTGCCAGGGCACTGACGTGAAGCCAGCTCTTCTTGCATAGCCACGGGCCACACCCCTCCCAGCCCGGAGTTCCTCACCTGGATCCAGCGGTCACCTCGGTTTACGTACTGGAAGCAGACCTTCAGTTCGCAGTTGGTTTTCTCAACCAGGTTCTTTACCTCTTTCAGGAATAAGTAATTGTCCTTCATGCTGAGAAGTTTGGGGAAGAGAGGGAGGCCAGAAGGAAGGGTGAGGAAGGACAAGGGGCCAGTCCAACCTCAGTGGCGACAAGCAGCTGGCACCTCTGGGCTGTGCTGGGCAGACGAGGCCACCAATGTGTCCACATTGACCTTTGCAAAGGGGGAGCCAAGGCCAAGCAAACTGCTCTGCTCATGGCGTTTGCCAAGGTCACAAACAAATAAAACGAGAAAGGGGCCTCTTGCCCCCACCTTCCCAGATTTCCAAAGAAAAGCTATGTCTAGCCTAGAGGCAGGGGACAGGCCCAGGGCCTCAGGGTCCCATTTGTCATGGCCGCCACCCACGCAGGCATTGCTTTCCCTGGTTTCTCATCTTGCTGCACCTGTCTAGCACATAATAGATGCTTGAAAAAAAATGCTGCATAAAATGAACTGAATACGCATTGGAGGTTCCTAACCAGACAACGTGGGCACGAATGAGAAAAGAGGGGCCCTGAGCGGCTCAGTGTGTTAAGCATGCAACTTCGCCTCAGGTCATGATCTCATGGTTTGTGAGTTCAAGCCCTGCGTCCGGCTCTGTGCGGACAGCTCAGAGCCTGGAGCTGCTTCGGATTCTGTGTCTCCCTTGCCCTCCTCCCCTCCCCCACTTGTACACTGTCTCTCTCTCTCAAAATAAATAAACATCAAAAAAATTAAAAGACAAGAATGAGATAAGAAATGATGGCTATTCTATTTAAAGCACCAACTGTACCAAGCAAGACCTTGGATTAATACTTTGCCTGCTCTGTTTAATGCCCACAGTGACTCTGCGATGTCAGCATGTCAGAGAAACGGAGGCACAGGGAGGCCCCGTGGGTTGCTCAAGGTCACACAGATGGTAAATGACAGAGCCAGGATCTGAACTCGGGTCTGCCTGCCCCCAAAGCCCCAGCTTCAGCCCCGTTGCTTGCTTACCAGCACACGAACACTGACAAGGGAGGCAGGATGTTGGGGGTCATGATCCACGGAGCAATCCGGAACACCACGGTGTCCGTGAAGATGGGAGTCAGGGGAATCTCCTGGGCGTGGGACAAAGGAGGGGATCACAAAGTCTGGCCAGGGTGCCTTTCACGCCTGCCTTGTAAAGTGGGTGAAACTGACAACCATTCTACACTTGTTGAGCCTTTGCTGTGTGCTGGGTCCTGTGGTCCTATCACATATGACATCTCGTTTCTGCCTTATTGCAACCCCGGGGGGGTTCTACAGGTGGGGAAACTGAGTCACAGACCTCTAGTCACAGACCTGTTATGGAGCTGTCCACAGTCACGTGATCTACGAGGGGTAGAGCCTGGATTTGAACCCAGGTGGTCAGGTTGCTGCAACCATACTCTCAACCACCATCGGATCTTGCTTCATCAAAGTCCTCTTCCTGAAACTGGCCCTCAGGCTGGCCGAGCCAGCCCCGGGCCTTCCACTTCTGCTCTGGGCACCTTGTCCTTTTCTACAGGTGACCGTTTTCAATGTTTGGGGGAATCTTGCAAAGTCTAGATTGTTCTTTAAGGAGAGGTTCAGAAAGCTTGTCTGGAGCCTGAGGGAAAAGAAGCGAATTCCAGGGTTCCTTTGTGTAGTTGGCTTTGAACAGCTATAGGAAACGGGCACCTGCCCTTGGTGGAGAAGGTGGGGGTGGGCGGGGCTATGGGCCTTGCCCGCCTTTCCTGCCTGGGTCTGCCTTTTGAATCTCTGCTGGTTTCCGCTGGTGGCGGGGAGGTGGTAGGGGGCTGAGACCCCCATGGTCAGGCTACTCCACGCACAGGTGGGAGCAGAAGCCCTCTCCTTACCCTGTTCCGCTAACACCACCTTTCCTGCCTTTCTTCTGAGGGAACTGAGGGCGCACTGTGAATGCGTTCCTACAAGCCTGGCTGCTTGCAACCAAAAGGAGACACTTCTGCCGTTTGTTTTATCCATGGGGAAACGAAGGCACGGGGGGCAAATTCACCTGCCCCGTGTCCCAAGGGCTCGAAGCTGGGCAGTCGGACTCCAGAGCCTGTTCTCATAAATCTGAGCTAGATGCAGCCTCGCCTTCTACAGAGTCCTCTGTGTCCTGGCCCGCGGTGGTCTGGAACTGACAGCGGGGAGGGCAGACCCGTGTGGGTGGTGGGGGGCAAGTGGGTCTCCAAGCTTGGGCCACCCCCTCTTGGTGCTTGGAGGGGAGTGGAGCACAGTGGGGCCTCAAGACTGGCCCTCTGGAAGGACTCCACCCGGTCCCAGGGTTGGCCCGTCATGGCGGAGGCCGGGAGCCCTCACCTCGGCCATGTACTCCAGCAGGCTGACGTGGATGGACACCAGCCCCGGGAAGCCCTCGTCGGGAAAACGCAGGCCTTCCACGAAGAACAGCAGCTCCGCGGAGCCGCCCGTGTACTTGACCACGTGGTAGAGCTTCTGGCGGCCCAGGATGTGGACATAACGCTGGCCGAAGAAAGGGTCTGGAGGGAGGAGGGCCGACGTCAGGTCCCCGCCCCCACCAGGGAGGGCAGGGGTCAGCGGGGCGGGGGACAGGATGGCAGTGCAACTGGTCCTCTAGACACAGGGAGAAAAGCACAAGCAGAAAATGCCACCAGGAGGGCCACGGCCTGGTCGATGTCGCACTTGAACGTGGTGCAGAACCAGACAACCTCTCTGGCTTCGGGCTTCCTCGTCTACAAAAGGAGCTAACTCTCGCCTGCACGTCGAACACAAAATGGGAGCAGATGATGACTGAGCAGCTAGCGGTGTTGAGGAAGGATATTACGTTCCTACGTTACAGGCAAGGAGATCGAGTCTCGGAATGGGGATGTGGCTTGTCTGAGGTCACACAGCCAGGAAGCGGCCAAGCTGGGACTCAAACTCATGTGTCATTCTGAACCCCAATCTCCCTTCCCCATTAATGAACAAAACACCGCGGTGTCCATTTGTACCCCAAATTCCTGTCTGTGTAACAGAAGTCAGGTTGGCGGGAAGACCCGTGGCCTCTGGCTGTACCTCCCGTGGCGGGGCAGGCTTCTCCAGTGCTGAGCCCCCACCGGAGGCCCCCAGCTCTTCACAGTGCTCCTCCCTCCCCCGGGAACAGTTGTTCCTTTCCTTCCAGGCCTTGATTTGTGTCCCTTCTGGGAACTCTGCCCAGATCCCCCAGAGACCGAGCCAGGGGCTGTGTGTGGAGCCTCTGCGGCCCCCTCCTTGCCCATCACAGACTTTCTGAGGGAGTGTGATCTTGGCATTTAGCTGTTGGCCCTGAGAGACTGTCACCTAGGGGCAGAGACAGGCCGGCTGGGCCCAGTGCCAATGGAGCGTATGTCGATGTTTAATAACAATCTACCGAATGAACCAATGGCTTCCACGCCACGCCCTGTAGATTTTTCTGGCCAGAGCACATGTACTGAATCACTACTGTGCTCCTAGCATGGGCAAGGGCGTCTGGGGAAGGATAGAAGTGGTCAGGATGCGGCATCTCTCTCTGCCTACGAGACATTGGCTCTGTCTCAGCCAATGAGAAGATAACGCGGATGTGGGACACGTCATAAATGAGCTGCAGGAGAGAGATCCCGGCTGGTAACGGCGGGGGGGGGGGGGGGGGGGGGGGGGGGGGGGGGGGGGGGGGGGGGGGGGGGGGGGGGGGGAAGGGAGGGAAGCATGTGAGCAGAGGAAGGGAGACTTGGAGATGCCCTTGAGGGTGGCAGGGGTGGGATGCGGCGAGGAGAGGGGATACTTGCATCGCCAAAGGCATGGAGGTAGGACCCTATCCAGAGCTTCCAGAAGGAGTTTCTCTATCCCCTGCGGAGCTGGAAGGGCAGAACCAGGTTCAGCTTAGTGCTCATCATCAACAACAATGGTGACGATTAATGACCAGTCACTCACGGGTCAGAACATGTAACTGGGATAGTCCTGGTTCAAATAGGGTGCTTGATTAAAACTTGTAAATTAAGGGGCGCCTGGGTGGCTCAGTCGGTTAAGCATCGACTTCGGCTTACAGTTTGTGGGTTCGAGTCCCGCGTCGGGCTCTGTGCTGACAGCTCAGAGCCTGGAGCCTGCTTCGGATTCTGTGTCTCCCTCTCTCTCTGCCCCTCCCCCACTCACACTCTGTCTCTCTCTCTCTCAAATAAATAAACATTAAAAAATCTTGTAAATTAAATGGAGGAATCTCCAAAGCCCAGTTTCAGGACAGTTCGTCATATTAGGATAATACGCTCAACTAGATCCTGGTTATACATCTGCTGAGGGCAGGTTCCCTTTGTGAAGGGAGTCTGAGAGACCTGGGTTCAAGTACCGTTCTAGCTTTACAAGCAGTGAAACCTTACGGGGTTCACTTAACCTCCCCGAGCCTCAGTTTACCCATTTGTTAAGTGGGGATAACAAAGGTGACGTCACAAGGTCATCGCAGGATAAAATGACACAGCATCAGCAAGTGAGGGAAACCCAGTAACCTGGGCAACCATCAGTCACACAGCTGGACCTGTTGGCATCAATATCACAAGAGCCCGTGAATGAGTTGGCACAGCCCTTTCTGCAAACCTCAGGGCCTTTTCATTGAACGGCTTATGAACAGAAGGCAAAGAAATAACACTTCACCTCACCTTGCCTTGCATGGGCCCCAGAAATGAGGCAGATAGATTCAGACACTGGACATGCCAAGGAGCTCATCACGGCACGACACAGAAGCAGTGGCGTGGGCCCTGAGCACATCCTAGCCACTAAGTAGATCCAGACGGTTAAGAAAATTTTCTTCCAGGGACACCGGAGTGGCTCAGTAGGTTGAGCGTCTGACTTTGGCTCAGGTCATGATCTCACAGTTTGTGGGTTCGAGGCCCGTGTCCGGCTCTGTGCTGACAGCTCAGAGCCTGGAGCCTACTTCAGATTCTGTGTCTCCCTCTCTCTCTGACCCTCCCCTGCTCACGCTGTCTCTCTCTCTCAGAAATAAATAAAAAATTAAAAAAAAAAAAAAAAAAAGAAAGTTCTCTTCTAGGCACTCAGACCCACCCATACCCCCCCCGGGTTGCACTTGTGCTGATGCTCAGGAGAGAGACCTCAGGCCCAGAAGCTGACTTGTCTTGGCAGAAAGCCCCAAAGCTTCCCCAGGGCTCTGGGCAGCCAGGCATTCCACCTGGGCCTGGATAGGGAAGGGGTCTGGCCAGGTAGCTGGGTCAGGTGCAAGGACACCTTCTTGCCCATTGGCATGTAGGATCCTCCCTCTAATGGCCCGCAATTTATATGTCTCTCTTTCTGGTGACTTGGGTCGGTGCCAGGCATTTTGATTCCTCAGTGGGAACAGTCTAGCCACTGTCCCAAGGACCCTCCTCTACCCCCCCACCCCCGCCCTGTCCCCAGCTTGGCGCAGGCCCCCTGAGCACAGCTGGCTCTCTCTGCAGGACCAGACAATGGCCTTCTGTGGAGCAGCCACATGCGTGCCAGCCACCCTGACCTCTCCTTGGCCCTAGGCAGGGCCCTACTGGCCGGCGCGTGGTATGGTTTGGCATAACCCTTCTGCTCACTTTGGAGCCATTCCACCTCCCAAGGAGGCTCCTTGAAAGTGTGACCATCCAGGGGGCGCCTGGGTGGCTTAGTCGGTTAAGCGTCCGACTTTCGCTTAGGTCATGATCTCGCAGTTCGTGGGTTCGAGCCCCGCGTCGGGCTCTGTGCTGACTGCCAGCTCAGAGCCTGGAGCCTGTTTCAGCCTGTGACTCCCTCTCTCTCTGACCCTCCCCTGCTCACGCTGTCTCTCTCTCTCTCCTAAAAATAAATAAAACATTAAAAAAAAAAAATTAAAAAAAAAAAAAAAAAGAAAGTGTGACCATCCAGCCTGGTTTGCCTGGGGCTGAGGGGTTTCCCAGGATCAGGGATTTTCGGTGTTAAAACCAGGAAAGTCCTGGGCGGACTGGGGGCAAGCTGGTCACTATGTCCTTGTAGGAAGAGGTCAGGCCCCACCTCTGGGGTCCTGGGGCAGAATCTGAAGCTGGAGCACAGACACCTGTGTCTGCCTGACGGCACTGGAAGCCTCTGCCTGTGGCCATGACTGTGATGAATAATCATCAGAATAATCCCAACAGAAGCAGCACGCGCCCCCCCGCCCCCGCACAGAGACAGTCCGTGGGCCGGCTACTGCGCTGAGTGCCTGATGCCTGTTTGGTCCCCACTGTGAGCAGGGACAGGAGGGTCTGTCACTGTTCCCATGTCCCAGATGAACCCAAGGCGTGGGCCCGTGGGTAGACTCGCCGAGATCCAGGGTTTGAACCTCCCAGGCTCCAGCGCTTCCTCTTGGGGCCCCTGGGCCCCCAGCCCAGCTCCCGGCCCTTGGGGGACACAGGTGACACACCACATTCATGTGACACAACCCAGTCTCACCCACAGCCGTGCTCAGATTTTCACAAACCCTGAAAACGTTTGCCCGGCAGAAAAAAAAAAAACTGTCACAGATGGATTATTCCCTTCCCTCCATCTGTTCTTTCCAAGATTCCACATTTTGTGGAAAATTGTTCTGGAATCACTGCTGTGTCAGGAATGCCTCCCCCAGTCCCTTGCCCCGCAGGACAGCAGCCCAGATAAGGCAGACCCGGGAACGGAGTCTCAAGGCGCTTGTCTGCTCGGGGCCCATCTCATGTGGGGCCGCGATGTGATTATGGGGCCGGACGGCAACCCACTCCCCTTAACAAACAGGGCCCTCTCGATAACGTGCAGGTGACACTACGAGCAACTCATCCCACGTCACGATTCAATGTCACGGTCGAGAGGCGCAGGTGGGGGCCCTGCCCCGGTGGAAGCCCCATTTGCTGTGGCAACCCTGGACCGGACGGGGTAAACATCAACATCTCCGGCCCCCTGGGGCAGCAGAGCCGGCCTGGCTCTGGGGATATTCCAACCTGCGTGAGGTCACCAACCGGGCCCAGCATGGATTGGAGGCAGGACAGGCCCTGGGCGGCAGCTGTCCACTGCTGTCCCCATTAAATCACTCCCTGCAGTGAGGGTCCAGGGCCCCCGTGACCAGCTCTTCGTGGCCACTGCCCTGGTTCTAGGGAGCCTGCCCAGAGGCGGGCTCCAGAGGTAGGGCTGGAGATCCTGGGTCCCCCAGAGCGCCGGGCACACAGGGGAAGCCCCACCCTGCATCATGGCAAATCGCAAAGCAAAATATTTTGCTGAGAGAGCTTTTTAATATATAAATCAGGTCTTGACAGTCTCTTGCTTAAAACCCTCTAATGGCTTTCCACTGCACTCAGAATAAAATCTGAGGCTTCTCTGCATGCCCTGGCTCCCGCCCAGATCGCTGACCTTGACTCCAACACATCCCCCAACTCTAGTCTTCCTTTAGCTCCTCCCACGCTCTGAGCTGGTCCACTCCTCTCTGCTTTGCATGTGCTGTTCCCTCTGCTTAGAATGCTCTTTTCTCAGCGCACGAATGGCTGGTTCCTCCTCACTGTTGATTTGGGTCTCAGCTCAAATGTCACCTGCTCAGAGAAGCCTTCCCAGACCACCGGGGCTGGCGATGCCTCACCTCTGCCCGTGATGTTCCCTGTCACTGTGTATTATTGTTCCCTACTGTGAGGACTAGGTCTGTGGCGGAAGTACGTTCCCTACCGAGCGGGGGCCCAGGGGGCCCTGTCACCATCAAGAGGAACAAGAGCTCAGTTCTGCAAGGATGCCCAGAACCTCCTTGGAGACCCTTTAGAAGTTAGAAGGCAGGTGGGGCGCCTGGGTGGCTCAGTCGGCTGAGTGTCTCACTTCCGCCCATGTCGTGATCTCACGGTTTGTGAGTTCGAGCCCCGCATTGGGCTCACTGCTGTCAGTGCAGAGCCTGCTTCGGATCCTCTGTAACCCCCTCTCTCTGTCCCTGCCCTGCTTACATACGTACACGCCTTCTTTTGAAAATAAATAAACATTAAAAAAAAAAAGTTGGAGGCTGTTCTCAGCTCCAGAGAATCTGAGATGGGCAGAAAACATGCAGGGAAGTGATGGGTGGGTATTATGAAGGCTCTGGAAAAGATGGACCTCGAAAGCCCTTCCCCCGCTGGTTCATGGGGAAGAAGGGACTCTAGGCTGTACACAGACCTGCATCGCTACCAGCTCCTTTGCGGGAGGAGAGGCTTATCCCTGGGGCCTCCTAAGTTCACAGGACAAGAGTGCTCCCAGTGGCTATTTCTTTCTTTCTTTTTTTTTTTTTTAAATGTTTTATTTATTTCTAGGAGAGAGAGAGAGAGACAGCGTGAGCAGGGGAGGGTCAGAGAGAGAGGGAGTCACAGACTGAAACAGGCTCCAGGCTCTGAGGTGGCAGTCAGCACAGAGCCCGACGCGGGGCTCGAACCCACAAACAGCGAGATCATGACCTAAGAGAAAGTCGGAAGCTTAACCAACTAAGCCACCCAGGCGCCCCTCCCAGTGCGTATTTCTAAGAGGCCGACCCTGGCCATCTCTAGTCACCTGTATCTGCAGGGGCCATAACTGCTGGGGGGCGGGGCGCGTCTGGGGAGGGTGGAGGGCAGAGCTGGGCCCCTGTGAGGACAGCTCAGTGAGCACCGAATGGATGGAAACTTTCGGAAAGGCAGGGGTCACTCACTCTCCACGTAGAACACGCCCACTTTGTCCGAGTCCGTCATGGAAATGTAGAGAACGATCTCGTACCCCGCCGGGAGGTGGTCTGGGCCTTTGGTCCGCAGGACCATCTGGGACATGTCCTTAAGGTCTGTGGCGGGCAGGGGGCGGGGGGACACCAGGAGGTTAGAATTAAGACGTGTGGCTGGAACGTTGGATCACAAATAACCTATCACTTTTCCCATCAAGTCAGAAAAAACCCCCAACATGTGTGTTGTGGAAACTATAGAAAAGCATAAAATGTGGTTATCACCTCCAACGCCATGATCTCCTATAACCTTTTGGGAATTTCCTTCCAGTCCGTTACCTAGGTGTGTGTGTCCGTATAACTCCTAAAAAACATGGTTCCAGCTGAACCACATTCATGGCTTTGTCTTCTGTTTTGTGTTTTTGTTTTTGTTTTTAGCAAGAGTGGCTATTTGAATCCCCACACCCCGGGGGGCTGAGGGGCGCTCCGGTCCCCGGGGGGCTGAGGGGCGCTCCGGCCTCCGCCTTGACCCAGCCCAGGACAGAACACCAGGGTTTGCATTGCTCCGCCCTGCCCCCCACCCCGAGCGCGGGGCCCGCTGGTACCTTCCTTGCTGTAGACCTTATTGTCGCTCAAATCCTCCTTGGGCAGCCAGGGTGTGTCTCGGTCACAGTTCACCAGCAGGATGGCCCCCTGGCCCTCAGGGCCCCAGGTCCAGGATGCCTGCATTGGCAGGGGGTCAGGTCACTGCCTTCTTGTCTACCTTCTGGTTTCCGGTGCCACTGCGGACGCACGGGCCACCGGAGACCCAGCCCCGGGCTGACAGGTGAGAGCAGCCAGCACTCGTCAGGGGGTGGGGGTGACCTGGCAGATGCGAACCCCACATCTGACGCCCGGAGAGGGTCAGCGGAAGCTCCGGAGGTTAGCTCAGGGAGGGGACGGTGGCAGAGACAGGAAGTCTGACCGGGGCCTTTATGAGTCTCGTGGCTGGTGTGCCTGTGCCTGGAGAAGGTGGAGGCAGGCGACAGAGGGAGGCCAGAGACGCCAGCAGGAGCGACGTCCTATGCTAGGCTCTCAAGTCCCTGCCGGGGATCGAGGGCGGGTGGGGGATGCCTGGAGGGACGGACACCCAGCTGTTTGCAGACATGCTGAGTGCTCCGAATGGGACCTGCAAGGTGATCCGCTCTCTATGGTGCGGCCAGGGCTGTTCTGGAACAATCTCCAACCCGATCATGTTGCCTTCCTGCTTTGAGCCCTGCCAGGGGCTCCCTGTGCACTTAACAGCCCCAGTCCCTCACCGAAGGCTGCAAGGCCAGGTGAGACTGGCCGGCTCGCCTTCTGTCCCCCCCCCCCGCTCGCTCCCCCCGCTCTCAGGCCTGTGCCCGTCGGCATCCCTGTGCTCACAGCACCGTCTGTCTCCCCTAACCTGGCCAGCCCCCCACTCCTCCTTCTGGTTGGGGCATGGCCATCAAAGGGAGCCCTTCTGATGCTCCAGTACCTTACACGTCCTTTCTGGGGATGGACTTGGGACAATTGTGATGAAACGGCTACTCACGTCACTCTGCTTACTGTGCCCCCCCTACCCCCCCACCTTGCCCCCTTCACTGGATGGTGTGTGTCCCCAAGGCAGTGGCGGCCTTTCTGTCACGCGGCCCTGGCACCTGAGCAGGAATATCAGAGGTGCCCAACAAATACTTATGGGACAGGCGGAGGAAATGTGCAACTTCACGGGCCCAGATGGAGAGAGCCTGAGTCCACTCGGGCCCACGGGGACTGGGCGACTTCACCAAGGCCGCAGAGGTCCTTGGGGGAGACTGGATGCCACAGAGGCCTCCGTGGAGTCTACTGTCACGTGGCTTGGCCACGGATGCAGACTGGCCGTCTCCTGGCAGCCGGCTGCCTCCAGGAGGCAGGGCCGGGGTAGCGCCCATGGAGGAGCCAGGGGGGAGGGGGCTCCCTGGCAGGAGGGAGGCCGTCCCATCTGGAGACATACAGAGTCTGGGGCTGGCTGCCAGGACCCAGGCTTCTCTCTGGGCTATAATCCTTGAAATTAAAAAAAAATTTTTTTTAATGTTTTATTTATTTCTAAGAAAGAGAGAGAGACAGCATGAACAGGGGAGGGTCAGAGAGAGAGGGAGGCACAGAATCCTAAGACAGGCTCCAGGCTCTGAGCTAGCTGTCAGCACAGAGCCCGACGCGGGGCTCGAACCCACGGACCGTGAGATCATGACCTGAGCCGAAGTCAGACGCTTAACCTACTGAGCCACCCAGGCACCCCTGTAATCCTTGAAATTTTTAAGGTGCCCGTCTACATATAATTTAAAACAGGCTTTATGTTGTTTTTATAAAAGTAACATACGTCCACGGCAAAAATGTCAGGGATGTAGAAGGGGAGGAAATGGAAAATAGGAGTAAACCGCCTGGATACACACAGGGCAAAACCAGCAGAGTTGAAAAGCTGGCTTGAGGGAAAAGGACGAAGCAGAATGAAATGGGGACACATGGCTGTCTACTCAAGTTAGAAGTACCTGCGCCCCCACCACGCTGTGTATTCTATGAGGATCATGAGAATAGAGGGGCACTTGGGGGGCTCAGTTGGTTAAGCGTCTGACCCTTGGTTTCGGTTCAGGTCGTGATCTCACAGTTCGTGGGTTCGAGCCCCACATCAGGCTCTGCACTGACAGTACAGAGCCTGCCTGGGATTCTCTCTCTCTCTGTCTCTCTCTCTCCCTCCCTCTGTCTGCCCCTCTCCCACTTGTGCTGTCTCTGTCTCTCTCGAAACAAAGAAAAGGAAAAAAAGAAAAGAAAAAAAGAATGGTGAGAACAGAAAGAAACACCTTGAACCTGTTAAAATGGTCCTCTGTGGGGGAGCAGGATGGGAGTGTGGAATGCAGGATCAAAGAGAATAAATGAATGAATGATGAGTGAATGCATGCATGAGTAGAACAAGAGAGGCATGGTGTGCACATCATGAAAAATAACATGCACGGGCGCCTAGGGGGCTCAGTCGGTTGAGCATCCAACTCTTGGTCTCTTGATTTCAGCTCAGGTCACAATCCTAGGGTCTTGGGGTCGAGCCCTTGTGTTGGGCTCTGAGCTAAGAGTGGAGCCTGCTTAAGATTCTCTCTCTCTCTCTCTCTCTCTCTCTCTCTCTCTGTGTCCCTCTGGCCCCTCCCCTCACTTGCTCGTGTGCTCTCTCTCTCTCTCTCTCTCAAATGAAAAAAAAAATGCCTTGAACTGAGAAGGATTAATGCAACCTTTTGCTCCTGACAGTCCCCCTCATTCAGTTCTAAAATTAAAAAAAAAAAAAAAAAAAAAGGCACAATGGCAGGGCTGTCATTATTTCCACGAATTGGTGTTCCATCCTGTGGGTGGGGGGACTGAGACTCAGGAAAGGGCTCTGTAGCCATTGCTTTCAGGAGCTCGGCTCCCCCGTGGGCTCTGCCCTGGGTGTGCCGGGTGTGGGAGCCTACGCTGGGCCTCAGTCTCCTCATCTGTGTTTGCTGGGAGGGCTACGGGACCCATCTTGGGGCTCTGCCCCCTGGGGCGCTCCCCCCCCCCCCCCCCGGGCGGCCCCGTCTGCCCTGGTAACTAGGTACCTTTCTTGGGTTGTTCTTCTCCACCACGCCGTCCCGGTCTGCGTCCACATCCAGGGAGATCTCTGGGGACAGACACACCGGTGAGTTGCTGAGCCTGCCAGGCCAGGTGGGGCAGGACCAGGGCCCAGAGGAAGACCCGTGCGTCACACCTACGCTGGGTCCCTGGAAGGGGCAGGCCTCGCTGAGGTCATCTGACCCAACCCCCTGCCTCAACGCCCCCGCAGACCCCGTTTGGGCGGGGGGCGGGATGCGGTGGGCGGGATGCGCCTCACTACACACGGATCTAGGCGCCGTGGCTCAGAGGGGCCAAGTCACCTGCCCTGGGTGAACAGGTGCGTTAGTAGAACCGGGGCACACACCGTGTTTGGTCAGATCGGAAGCTCATAGTTTGAAAACTTTCACAGGGGCTCCTGACTGCCTTTCCCGTCCTCTGCCCCGGTGGTGCGCACACACGCGCGTTTGTGCGCCATCTCTTCTAGAACATCCGCCTCCCGCCAGTGTTCTACTGTGGGCAGGAAACCGGGTCCCCAACCCCTCTCCATCTCAGGGTGCCCGAGAACCAGGTTGTCTGACAGAAGATTCAGGGCGAGGTCTCTGTTTATTCTTTCTCTGGGGGAAGGGGCGTTTTATGTCCTCAGACCCGTCCTGGGGACACGTGTCATGGAAACTGCGTGGGGCAGTGAAAGGAACCCAAGATTTAGGGTCAAGACGGTGCTGGGTTCGAACCCTGCTTTTCTGCTTACAAGCTGTGTGACTTTGGGCAGGTTAGACAGGCTCTCTGAGCCCTCATTTCTTTACCTGCAAAATGGGGCCCTTTCTAGTAAGAGGAGGTGTACTAATCGCAACAGTAGAGGCACGATGGACATTTCGAGCTGGATGCCTCGTTGCGGGACCATCCTGTGCACCGGGGGATGTTTAACAGCATCCTTGGCCTCCACCTGCTGGATGCCAGGAACATCCCCCAATTTCAGCCATGAAAATGTCCCCAGATATTGCCAAATGGCCCCCGAGTTAGAGACTAATGGGGTGGGGGGGGCAGGGGAGTTGTCCCAAGATGAAGGGAGTGTCACATAATGGGGTGAGCCAGTCCGGATCCTGGAAGTGCCCATGGGCTCGGCCCCACGTTGAGCATGACTTGGACAGAGGCGGGAGCTGGGTGGGAATGAAGGCATTCCTCGTCTGTCCCCTTGGCAGGCAGGCTCTCTCCCTGGCTCGTGGGGAGGAGGGTCCTGGCCCAGGACACTGGACACTGATGTCACCTTTCCTGAGGCAGCTCACCCCGGGGATTACAAGTCTTCCCTTTGCCCAGAGCCCGATTCCCTGAATGTGGTCTTTCTGGGTCTAGAAGGAGGCAGGGCAGGGGAAGCTCTGAGGGTACTTGGTCCTTGGGACAGGCAGCACCCCAGGGTCCCCACCTCTGCCTCCCTAGGGATGCCAGGTGCTATAGGGCATGATTAGGTGAGCTTCTCCCGCCAATCCCATCTGCTCAGCGGATCATCCACTATATTCTACTTTGTTGATTATTCACTATATTCTAGGTACTAAACCAGGCATGGGGACGGGGGTGGGGGTGGGGGAGGGGGGCGTTCAGGGCCCAGCGCCTGCCCTGGAGTCCTCAGTCCCGTGGCGTATATGTTACTGTTGCCGTTGTACAGGTGAGCAGACCCAGCCTCAGAGATAACCTGGAGGCGCAGGGTAAGGATGCTAGGGACAAAGTGGTGCAGGGGGTAAAGTGTTTTGTCTCCCAGACCTCCGTGAACGGTCCAGCGGGACACGCCCCAGTCAGCGCTGCCTTTCGGGGAGGTCGGCTTCCCGGAGCTCCGCCCCCGAGAACCAGCCACAGGCCCCGCCTCCTTCCGGAATCCCTCTCTTTGCTTTTCAAGGTAACAATCTGTCGTGTGTGTGTGTGTGTGTGTGTGTGTGTGTGTGTGTGAGCGCGCGCGCGCGCCGGTTCCCTGTGCCAGAGGCAGAGGGCGTGCCACGCAGGGAGGCATTATCACTCACCCTGCCACCCCCACCCACCATACAGATGAGAAAACCGAGGCACCCGGCAGGGCAGTGACCATGATGTCCTCAGACAGTGCAGAACCCGGCATCCCTCTTGGGCCTCCGATGCCAGACCCCTGGCCCTGGTCTGTTTCCTCCACTGGCTCAGCCCGATCTCCTCCTTGGGCTGTTTCTGAAACCCAATTCCGCCTTCAAAGACCCAAGACTTGCTCCCTTTGAGGTCATTCCCAGAGCGGCTGGCCACGCCCCCACCCTGGCAGCCCTGTGGCTTTCATCTTGGGGTCAAGGTGGCGCCCCACCATGGCGGTGGTGGGTCCATGAGAGCAGCGGATCACAGGAGAGAAGTGATGAGGCACCTAACTGTGGTTTACCTGATGACAAATTCCTGAAGTTAAAACTGTTTATCGATGTCCTATTTGCACATAATGCGAAAAATGCAAGTAGCACCAAACAGCTTCTAAAGAAAAACAGCCGTTTCCTGTCTACCCCATCCCCTCACCTGCCTGAGGCAATCTCCGTAATATGCTTTGTGCCTCTTCCTTGATTGGTTAGCATCAGACTGTCTCACTGACTTCCTGTTAGAATATTCAGGCATCCCAGGCCCCCTTATCACCCCCACTTATCACCCGCCTCCCAACCCGAGGACTTCTCCCCTTCAAAGCTTCCTCCAAAGTCCAATTTAACTAGATTCTGATGGGATGATCCTTGTAGGGACAGAGAATAGTCCTCTCATGACCCACCCAGAGCTCTGCCCTCTTGAGATAGCTCTGTCTTCCCCTGAGGGCGGGGTGGGGGGAGGAGAAGAGAGGACATCTGTTTCGGGGCGTCTAATCTTCAGACGACATTTCCCAGAGGCTCTGAATCCTACCTCAGCTCCCCAGAATAGCCCCAAGGTGTCAGGTGGCACCTGGGGTGTGGGGCAGATTTATGGGAAATGTCACTGGGACGGGGTTCAAGGTAGTCTGCCCCGAGAATCTAGACACTGAGGCTGCAGGCTTGACACAGAGGCATAAGCATCTTGGCAGGGCCCTGGCCCCCGTGGCAAGTGGCTGGGTGCCCGGCCTTGTTATGTAACTGGGCAGCCCGGGGTGCAGTGGGGAAGAAGGGCTTTCTCCCCCACAGCCAACTAGGGCAGTCATCCTAGGCCCTGGGTAAGGGGCACAAGGAACGAGGTCCTTAGGTTGACGCTAAAACTTAAATCCTGTTGCCAGGACAACAGCAAGGAGGAGCCCATTCTTCCTCTCCTGTCTCTCCCTTCCCACATTCCCCTTAAGGGTGTGTGTGTGTGTGTGTGTGTGTGTGTGTGTGTGTGTGTGTTTGCTAATCAGCCCTATCTGGGGTCTTGAAGATCCTTGGGGACCACAGGGCCCCGAAGCCTTCATTCTACAGCTGGGAAGACGTGAAGCTAGAGGGGTGGGCTACTTGGTAAGGTCACATAGCAAGTCCTCGGCGGGACCGGGAGCCGAGACCTGGTTTGGCCAACAGCGCCATGGGTTTATTTCCAAATCGCAGGGGGAAAACTGAGGGACAATAAGGATCTTCAGCTTGGCCCAGGCAGAGCGAAAGTGTGGCTCCCGCTAAGCAGAGGGAGAAAAAGTCCCGAGTGAGCATCTTTGCACACACCATCCCATCGGATTCCTGTGAGCACAGCGCGCGGTGAACCCCACTGGGCAGTGAGAACCCAGAGGCTTGGTGGGGGGTGACGGCCCCAATGCAGCTGAAGGGGTAGAGCCAGAACTTAGACTTATTTCTGTCTACTCCACAACCAGGGCTCTCTCTGCTCAGCGCGGGCTCAGGACAGAACTAGGGTTCAATGGGGGGCACCTGGGTGGCTCAGTGGGTTAAGCATCCGACTTCAGCCCAGGTCATGATCTCGTGGTTTGTGAGCTCGAGCCCCACATCGGGCTCTGTGCTGACAGCGCAGAGCCTGCCTGGGACTCTCTCCTTCTCCCGCTCTCTGCCCCTCCTGCACCTGCTCTCTCCATCCCTCTCTCTCAAAATAAACTTAAAAAAAAAGAAAAAAGAACTAGGGTTCAATGGACTCAGATATGTCCCTGGAGGGAGGGAGTCCCACCATGAGGGGATCTTTGGGGTGTTTCTGCCTCTAAGGTACCACCCCTGGGTGATTACTCAGGACCTGGGGCTCAAGGCTCCTGTGGTAGATTCCCCAGGGAAGACAAGACCTGGAGAGTCAGACAGACCAGTGGGTCCCTGGTGGAACAGGAAACATAAGTTCAATGCGTGAGTTTTTCCACAAAACTTAAGTTCTGCAATGTAAGTGACTTAAGTGACTTTTAGTCTGAAATCATGCCCCGCCTACGTTTTAGTCATGACAATGTTAAAAATGGCCCTGAGCTTCTGATACCATGGCCACCAGCCGCAGGCGGCTACTGAGCAGGTAAATGTGGCAAATCTGATTTGAGATGTGCTCTGGGGACACAGTCTGGGTATGAAAGTGAACATAAACTAGCTTGCTGATTTTTTTTTTTAAATATATTGGTATCGTGTCAAAACGATAATGCTGTGATAATTGATGGTGAATTATTTTATTGGCGTCTTTTCTTTTTGTCCAAGCATCTAAATGGTCAGGCTTAGGGGCGCCTGGGTGGCTCAAGTCAGTTAACTGTCCGACTTCAGCTCAGGTCATGATCTCACCATTCCTGAGTTCAAGCCCCGCGTCGGGCTCTGTACTGATGGCTCGGAGCCTGGAGCCTGCTTCTGATTCTGTCTCCCTCTCTCTCTCTCTCTGCCCCTTCCCTGCTCATGCTCGCTCTCTCTCTCTCTCTCTCTCTCTCAAAAGTAAACATTACAAAATATTTAAATGGTCAGGCTTATTATTTGGGGTGGGGGGTGCGCATCTTCCTGGTCTGTGGAATCTACTATCTGGAAGTGTAGTTAGTATGTTCTGGGGTCCCAGCCCTGATGTTCCTTCTCTGTACAAGATTCAGGGTCTTTTAGTGGAGAGGGGGGCCCAGTCCTGCTTCCTCCCGGGGAATTACCATGAGCCGTGTCTCCCTTGCTTCGGTGGAAGTCCCGCTAAAGGCACCATCAGCCCTCTGGGACCACCCCCATTGGCCAGGCCTCCGGCTGCTGCCCTTCTTGCTTTGTCGCCAGGCGGCCCGGTCCCTGGGGGATTAGGTTACTCAGGGCTAGTCATCTGAGACAACCTCACGTGCACAAACCTGCCGGCTCTCCACTGCACCCGGGGGGGGGAGGAGGGGGGAGTTTGGCACCTGTTTCCCAGGGCCCCCGGAGGGTGTCCCGAGGACCCCACCCCAGGGCTGGGCTCTCCCTCAACTGAAGAACTGAAGAGGACCCCTGCCCATGTGGCCCGGCGCCCAGGCAGGTGAGTGCTGTGTGGCTGGGAAGGCCCTGGGAGGGGAACGATCCTGAGCCCTGGACTCAACCTGCTATGGAGCTGCTGTGTGACTTCGAACAAGCTCCCTACCCTCTCTGGGCCTTACTGTGCCAATTGCCAAATACAGGGCTTGGACTGGGTGAGTCAAGGACTCAGGCATCTGTGTGTTCTCAGGGCTGGGTCCAGGGAGGGCAAGAGGGTGGCTGGGATAATCAGGAACAGAGCAAACTTTGTAGACAGGCCACTTCCCTCACTACACTCCTCCAGGCTGCAGGGCAGAGGCCAGGGAGGAACACATTTTGCTCTTTCTTCTCAACCAACATTGGGGTGAGGTGCTGGCAGCCCAGGGCCTGCCCCCTCCAGGAAGTCCCCCAACCCACACAGAAGGGCCTGGGTGGCCGTGGCATCACTTCTCGGGCCTGCGTGATTCAGAGGAAGTTCCGAGTGCCAGGTCTGCGAGGCCGCAAAGGCACCGAGCTACAGCCACACCCACTTACCAATGGCCGTGAGGAAGAGCCCCGCCTGGTCGATGGGCATGCTCCCCTCCTCCTCATAGTAGTTGACGGTGACCTTGGCAGGAAGGGGCGCATCGGGAGGAAGAGAAGAGCAGACGTCACAGATCACAGGCAGGAAAATCTGCAGCGACCCCCTTCCCTGACTCACACCTCATGGCCTGTCCAGCTGATTTTCTCCCCGAACATCTAAGCAGTCTCCTCCAGGAAGCATTCCTGGGTTGGTGGGCTGCTTCTCTCAAATTATCCAACTAGGCAGGGGACTCCCCTCCTCTCAGAGGGCATCCAGGGTGCTGACTGCTTACTCTGGTGCATTCTGCTGCCTGTGAGGGGTAGAGGGCCTGGGTCTCACATGGTTTATGGCTGGTTCCTTTAGTAACCGGGGCACGGGGCTGAGGTTGTTTGCTTTGAATAACACCCAGTGCTATCACTGCCATGAGGCACATGGCAAGGTTCATAATCAAAGAACCCAGCGAAGAGACATCTGGTCCAAGCTTGACCACTTGGGCTAATCACCCTGCTGCATGGGCCCCCAGCCCCCCATTCAGTAATGCTGAGACCAAGGACTTTAGGGGGGTACCTTCCAGTGATTCTAACATATCACTCGGCAGCCTACAGCGTTAACCTTCCACGAAGCCATCATTCCACGGTCTGGCACGGAGCTTCCGCAACGGTAGCCACCAGCCACAGGTGGGCACCGAGTGCGTAAATGGGGCAAATGCGATTTGAGATGTGCTGTGTGGCATGGACTTGGTATGAAAAAGAACGTGTGCCAGCTCACTAATTTTTTTTTTTTTTTTTTATGTATCATGTCAAAACGATAGTATTGTGATCTATGGAGTTAAGGAAAACACACTGTGAAAAAATTAAGCCCACCTGTTTCTTTCTGCTCATTCAGCGTGGCCACTAGAATAGTGGCAGTGATGTGTGCATGGCTCGCATTCGGTCTGTACTGGGTGGCACTGGTCTGGCTCGGCCCCTGGGTCCCGCCACCCCCGGAGGACCCCCCCCATGCCTCCCACGCCGTGGTACCTTGTCACTGCTGGCCTCGGTGCTCGCCTGGCTCATGGTGACCCGCAGTGTGGTGCTGGGCGACAGAAGCCAGCGCTGTTTGCCATTGGTGGCCACCTCCTCAGCCTGCCCGTCACGCACCACCTCTACCCGCACACGCTCCGAGTGCTTCAGGCTGAAGGTATGGGCCTCGGCCGGGGCCGCGCTGCAGGGAGAGAGGAGAGCAGGTCAGAGGAGGCCATCCCCAGGCAGGTGGGACAAGGGGCTTCAGAAAAAGACTCCTGGGGGGAGGCAAGGTGGCAAGGGCGCTTCTGGGCCTGGGGGCCCCCAAGGGACCAAGCTGCACTACCATCACCTGGTTGTGAGAAGGGCCCTTGGTAGAAACATACATTCCCTGGGCCTGTCTTGTGCCCACTGAGTCAGAACATTCGAGGCTGGGGCCTGCGGATCTGAATCCTCAATGGCTTCCTCATGCTTCCGATGGGCAGCCACGTGGTACCTTACAGGTGCAGGCAGGAGGCCCAGACCAAGGAATGAACTTGCTCCAAAGGCGGCGCCCGCCCCCCACCCCGTGTCTGAGCTGCAGGCAGAACTTGGTTGAAAGGCGTCAGAGCGGCAGGCGCCCATGTGCCGGGTCTGCCCAGGGAAGGAGCCTGGGACTTGGGTCCTCGACGGGCAGGGGTGGGTTGGCTCTGTCACAAAGATCCCTCCCGCCATGACTTTCTTTCCCAGCTTGGAACTCCCCCTGCGGGGAGTGTGTGTGTGTGTGTGTGTGTGTCATTCCTCGGGGTTCTGGAGCGTTTTCTAGGAAAAGCTGATACACTTGGAATTCTTGAGAAGCCATGAAGATTTCAGGCCAGGAAGCGAACTGGTCTGATCTGGTTGCTAGGCAGGTTCGTGTCCCCAACACAAATTCACATGTTGAACCCTTTGTCCGCAACACGACTGTATTTGAAGATAAGGCGTTTGGAAGATAATTAAAGTGACATGAGGTCATGAGCACGAGGTCCTGTCTGCTAGGACTGGCCGCCTCAGAAGAAGGGGAAGAGAGGTCTTTCTCTGTCCCACGCACTGGGGAAGGCCGTGGGAGCTCACAGCAGCCACCTGCCAGCCAGGAAGTGTCCCCACCCGCCCCGCCCCCGCTGGCCTCTGATCTCAAACTTCCAGCCTCCAGGGCGGGGGGAAAGAATTGCCTGTTTTTAAGCCCGCCGGCCCACGGCATTTTGTTACTGCCTAAGACACTGGTTTAAGGGGAGGTGACAAGAAGGACTGGGAGACAGGGAGGAAGGCGCCCAGGGTGGACGGTTTTGCTAAATCCAGCCCCCAAGGTTACCAGAGGCTAAAGAGGGCTCGGAGGGATTTAGGTGGGATTCTCGTGGGATTTGGGACTAAGACATAGATGTAAGTGTCAGCCTCGCAGGCACATCTGCTGTCCAGAGGGCCTGGCGCTCCCGGGTTCCCGAACTGTTCTCCACTATGGTCGGGCCTCAGAATCATCAGGCGGTGCAGTCTAAATCCTCAGGGTTTCTTTTTTCAAGGCTAGAGATTTGTGGATCCTCTCCCCGGAGAGTCTGGCTGGCAGAGGGGAGGTCTGGCTGAGGCAGCTGCCGGGGCGAGCAGTGGCCAGAGGCTGGATGAGAGGTTTGGGCCAGAGGTTCTCAGAGCTCGGCAGCCTCACCTGGAGGACTCGTCTAAATGCAGATTGCTGGGCCCTCCTCAGAGTTTCAGATTCAGTAGCTCTGGAGTGCTGAGAATTTGCATTTCTACCTTTCCTTCCTTCCTCTCTTCCTTCCTTCCTTCCTCCCTTCCTTCCTTTTCTTTCTTGAGAGAGGGAGGGCACAAGTGAGCAATGCACAGAGAGAGAATCCCAGGAGGGGCAGAGGCAGAGGGAGAGGGAGAGAGAGAAAGAAGCGGGGCTCCTCTGAAGCGGGACTCGAACTCATAAACCATGAAATCACGACTTGAGCCAAAGTCAGTTGCTTCATGGCTGAGCCACCCAGTTGCCCTGCCTTTCTACCGTTTCTGAGACCTGTTGGTGATGCTGGTCCAGGGCTACACGGGTCTAGAGAAACAGTGGTCTAGACGCTAGGCAGTGCTGTCTAGTGGTTAGAGCCCTGGAGAGGCCAAGGTCGTGAGTGTGAGTCTGTAGAGGGCACCGGGCAGTGTGTCTCTGAGCCAGGCCATGGACTGAAGGCTGCTGGCAAAGACCCCTGGTCGGGGGCACAGCGGGAGAGAGCAGGTCAGGGTCTGGCAGCCCGTGCCCGGGGCTGGGGAAGGAGCTTGGACAAGAAGCTCTGAGGCCACCCTGTTTCTTGTCCATCTGCCCCCTTCTAAACTCCTCAGCCCATCTCAGGGCCACCGGGCTGATCTGAGGCTGGACACTTGTTGGCAGAGGTCTGCTGTCCTCTGTCCACACCCCTCGTTAGGAGAAGCGGAGTCACAACGAAAACCTGGGTTGGGGAGTCCACTTGCTTAACACACATTGGGTTTGAGCCTAATTTTGCCACTGAGTTGCTGGGGGAGACATGGGTGTGTCCCATGGGCCTTCTGAGTGTCCATCTCCCGACCCAGAAGGGACTCACCCACCTCTCCTGTCCCACGGGCTTTGTCTGTCATCCGTCACAGGGCAGGAGCTGTTTGTCATCCATACCAGGGCTTTGGCCACGGGGTACCTGTTCTGACCGTGCGCCCCCGAGGGCAGGGACTGGCCTCCCCCATCCCCCCTCCTTCAGAGACCAGCGCAGGGCTGGGCACATCACACACACCCCAGCAAAGAGGGTGGAGCTGAGCAGGACAGAGGTGAGCCTTCTAGAAGTGCCAGGAGGCATCGTCCTAAGGGCATGTGGGTAAGGTGGCTGTTAGGTGGCATGTGGACGCATAGCTGAAAAGAAGATTCATGTATTTATTAAATATGTTATCCTTTTATAGCAATTGATAAAGGATTGCCATGTATGGGAATAACATAAGCTCTCTATTTATTTTTATTAAAACATTTTTAAAGTTTATTTATTTATTTTGAGAGAGATAACACGAGAGAGAGAGAGAGAGAGAGAGAGAGAGAGAGAGAATCTCAAGTAGAGCCTGAGCTGTCAGCACAGAGCCCAACTTGGGGCTCAAACGCCCGTGAGATCATGACCTGAGCCAACACCAAGAGTCTGACAAATCACTGACCAAGCCACCAGGCACCCCTATTTACTCATTTTTTAAAATAACCCCCATGACCTTGTGATCAAGAGTCGCATGCTCTGCCCACTGAGTCAGCCAGACGCCCTCTGCAAGATCTCCATTTAAGATAAAGTCAGGGGGGGCGCCTGGGTGGCTTAGTCGGTTAAGCGTCCGACTTTCGCTTGGGTCATGATCTCGCGGTTCGTGGGTTCGAGCCCCGCATCGGGTTCTGTGCTGACTGCCAGCTCAGAGCCTGGAGGCTGTTTCAGAGTCTGTGATTCCCTCTCTCTCTGACCCTTCCCTGCTCACGCTGTCTCTCTCTCTCCTAGAAATAAATAAAAACATTAAAAAAATTTTTTTTAAATTTAAATATTTTTCTCATTTTCATTGGGTCACTTTCTTACTGCTGAGTTTTGAGACTTTTTTATATATTTGGGATACAAATCCGTTTATCAGATATATGACTTGGAAATATGTTCTCCCAGTATATGACCTGTCTTCCAATTTTCCGAAGTGTCTTTCAAAGAGCAGAAGTTNCTGTGCTGACTGCCAGCTCGGAGCCTGGAGCCTGTTTCAGTCTGTGACTCCCTCTCTCTCTGACCCTCCCCTGCTCACGCTGTCTCTCTCTCTCTCCTAGAAATAAATAAAACATTAAAAAAAAAAATTTAAGATAAAGTCAGGGGCGCCTGGGTGGCTCAGTCAGTTGAGCGTCCAGTTTTTGATCTCAGCGCAGGTCCTGATCTCATAATTTGTGAGTTCAAGCCCCGTATCAGGTTCATCTCCTCTCTCTCTGCCCCTTCCCTGCTCAAACTCTCTCTCTCTCTCGTTCTCAAAATAAGGAAATAAACTTAAAAAACTAAATCAAGTTATAAAATGTGAGTTGATGTAAAGAAAAATGTTAATAGTACTACAGGTAGAATATGGTTTGGGGAAAAATCACGCGTCTGAGCAATTGTGGTCTCAGGTCAGGAAAATATTTCTCCAGCGCAAGTCCCCGCTTTGACCATCAACTTGCTGGATGGCTTTGGGCGAGGCCCTTTTCCTCTGTTTCACCAAATAGAAAATGGGAGCGTGACCCCAGCGGGAGGTGCTGGCATCTGAAGGGCCCAGAGGTGGGCAGGCTCTGCACCAAGGGGTGAGGAGGGGGGCCCTGAGAAGCTGGGGGTCTCTCGGCTGGGTCCCCACTTCTGTTTATGCAGAACCACTATGATTTCATCTGGTTTTATACATTGAGTTTCTGCACACAGTTCTATTCAGAAAAAAAATGCTTTACAAACTCACAGTGCAGGGTGAGTTTTAAGGACCCGACTCTGACACTTGCTGCTCTAAGTGATGCTTTCTGCCACCTTCGTTCCTCTGGGCCAGTGAGAAACTGGAGGCGGCCCAGGGGGTTAACGCCGCTCCCAGGGCCCCACACCCTCCTACCCCAGCACCAGCCCTGCTCTGGGCTGAGCAAACAGCTATTCTTGGAGCAGCTCTGGCAGAAGCGACAAAGGCACCATTGTCCCCTGTGAATCCCGTTGGCTGCCTCCCTCTCCAGGAAGAACCAGCCTCTCCACCCATCCCCCAGAAACCCGAGAACCAGGGGCTGTGGGCACCTTGATTGTCCCTGGAGGCTGCAGCGAGGGGCCCAGGATGGTCTCGAGGGAGAGAGTGGGGATACTAGTGGTGGCCATGACCTCCCGCCTATGGGAAGGAAGCTAAAGATCGCGTGCCCAGGACAGGCTGCCGGTCACTGGGCCCACATCTGCTCTGCTCACCATCGTATCCCAGTGCCTAGGACAGAGCCATGCTCCATATAGACTTCGGGAATAAATGAATGAATGAACTCACCCTTCTCGGTTCCCAAACTGTATTACCAGAGGGATTAAAAAAAAATTAAAATCAGGTTACTTGCCTGCTTGCAAATATTCCGTGGCTCCTTGGTGCCGGCCGATACAACAAAAGCCAAATTCTTTGAGCTGTTATCCATCCAGTGACGTTTAGCCACTGGGTCTCGCTTGGCCCTCCAGCCTCACTCCCCGCTATGCCTCCACCCTC